AAAAAAAAAAAAAAAAAAATTATTACCAATAAGATCATGCATAATTAACTTTTAGGCAGTCTTGTTGTTATTCCTATTAACATTACTTAAAATTTATTATATAAGGTCACCATTCATTGAAGAAACTGTGTCCCTTTCCCTCTAGGGTCTGTAAATGGGACCTCCAGGGTAACCTACCTTTATGATCTCACCAAATATGCCCAAGGAACTCTTTCCCCAAATGCCCAATGCTTTACTTTTCTAAAACAGTGAGATACCTCCCCCTTGAGATAAGATTATTTCCTAAATTACTTGAAAACTATATGTCTAATATAAAAATCAGGTTGATCCAATTACATAATGTAGTTGTCATACTGAATTTAGGTGCAAATGTTATATTTGAAATGTTAACAATGACTGGCTTTTAACAGTATGATAGACATGAAGTTCTAGGTTACTTGAGTGAGGAAAGCCCTTGCTTCTAAAATCCTGGTCACTGCCGTGCTGGTCCTGCCCCGCTGAGACCGCAATTGAGACTGGGCATGGTGGTGTGCACCTGTAATCCTAGCTCTCAGGAGGCTGTAAACATGCGGATCACTATGAATCTGATCTAGTAATGAGACCCTGAACACCCTGAAATACAAAAATACAAAAAATAAAAAAATGCTGGGGCTGGGGAGATAGCTCGGTAGAATAAGTGCTTCCCTAGCAAACGTAAGGGTCCGAGTTCAATCCCCGGTTCCAGAAAAAAAAAAAAAAAAAAAAAAAGCTGATCAGTCTCTCTCTTTAAAAAAAAAAAAAAAAAAAAATCCTCAACTCCAAAGAAAGCTATGAAAGTCCATGAGTGTCTTATACAATGCAGTCTGAGTCTGAGGTAACAGAATATGCTCTGGTCTGAGCCAGTGCTGTTGCATCTATTGGAATTTGTAAGTTGAACTGCTATTTTCTTCCAGGAATAAAGAAGTGAAGCACAGGTTCCTGAGCAGTAGAGGCTGCTGGAACACCCACTACCTACTAGTCCTCTGAGTCAGTGGATATCTGAAATAATGAGTAAGTACAGTACTTGAAATCCAGGAATAGAAGGGAGGGGTACTCCAGCTTTTGTTTCATTTCCATTGTGCATTTGTATTGCCTTGGTGAAAATTTTTTCTTGTTTTGGTATTAGGGATTGAACTTAGTACCTCTGTACTGAGCCACACCTCAAGACATTTTTATGTTTTATTTTTAGACAGTTGCTAAGTTGCCCAGGTGGCACTCAGACCTGTGAACCTCCTGCCTCAGCCTTCCAGTGCTGGGATTACAGATGCATGCCATTATATCTGGTCACACTGAAATTTTAATCATCTACCTTAAGAGTTGGAAATTCAGCCTTTAGTTAAGTCTTTAATTAAGGATCATTCTAAGTTAAAAGAACTCATTAATGATGGGGAAGCTGCTCCTTTGGGATTGGTGTTATTCTCTTTTTTTTAAATATTTATTTATTTTTATTTATTACATTTATTTGTGTGTGTGTGTGTGTGTGTGGCCAGCTCAGCCCACCAGGGGGCGGGTCTGGCTGGCATGTGGTGCTGGGGATCGAACAGCGGTCCCTGTGCTTTGCCAAGCTTGTTTCAAGTAGGTGCTTTAGACCACTGAGCCATCTCTCCAGCCCTGGTGTTATTCTCTGAAACACTAAATTCTAATAATGCCAAGAAAGACCACTGTGCTTGCCCCTTACAGCTGATTGGTGTTCTTCGTCAGGTTAGGCTGAGGAGAGGGTTGGCAGCTGCTGGCTTTCAAAACCCCTCTCCCTGAAGAGTTTTGGCTCCCACTGGGGTAGTGAGTAAAATCATCTTCAGTTACTGCTTTGACCAGCCACTTAATAACATCTCTGCAATGGAGAAAGAGATAAGAAAGAAAAGGTTTTAACTTGTTATATTGATGATGCTCAGGACTGCAGCCTCCAGCTAGGATACCAGACTCGTAAGATTTCTCCAGTAGCAACAAAGGTGGTTTTAGGCTACTTTCAGTATTAAACAAGTCTTATGAAAATCCTACAGTTAATCACAGCATGGCTATAAAAGCTAACTAAAATATCAACATTTCCCTTTGAGTTACAATTACCGGAAAGCATGTCTGGGGTCAAAGAACACTATCTGTGGCTTCTGGCCAGGAACATTTCCCAAGTAGGCAGAAAGCTAGACTAGATGACCATATAAATTCCTGTCAGATTCTACTATCAAGTGTCATCTACTAATAACCTGATAACTGAGGTTTAATGAATGTGCAGTGGAGTCATACCTCATATAGGGCTTGGACTCAACAAGGTAGTAACAGCCCATAGTCAAAATTACTTTTTTTTGCGGAACCAGGGATTGAACGCAGGCCCTTGCACTTGCCAGGCAAGCACTTATTCTACTGAGCCATCTCCCTGGTCCCCAAAATTACTTCTGATGATCACTT